CAGGGACTTGTCCCACAGCCCCCCTGTGGATTGCAGCCCCTCACCCGGCCTCGCCCCGCCTCGGCCCTGCCCCCACTCCCTGGAGGGGCCCTGGCATCTCGCCGACCTTCACTTGCGAGGCTCCAGGCGGTTTCTGTTTCTTTATGCGAGCATGTGTCCCATGGAAGGATGCGTGACTCACAACCCGTGTCCACTCGAAACTGCACCGCACACTGAAAACGGCCTCGTGGCCTCCCTAGAAAACGTGTCTCCACCCTGCCAGAGCCAAAGGCCAGCATTGTGAAACTGAGAGGGCCTGCTGCCTGGTGGTGAGTGGGAGCTCAGTAAATATTTGCAGAGTTCATGAATGAAAGTCGAAGTATTCCGCCTCTCCACGCCTCAGTCCTTTCTGGAATTAAACAAATACTCATGAAGCGCTTTCTGTGTGCCAGGTAGAGTTCCACCGGCAGATGGAGGGTGACAGCCAGTCATTTCCCTCCCCCCGGAGGGAGGGTGTTCTAGTAAGAGTGAGGTGATAGATAAAAAACAAAAATAAATGATGCCACTTAAATATTGGTCACTACCTAACTAATGCTTAACACTCTGCCTTCTGTGTTCACCCAGGTAAACTCTCTCAGGCAGATGCCATTATTAGGCAATAAATCAGAGAGGAGGGAGCCATTTCCCTGGGTGGGTCAGGGGGCAGGTCCAAGCACTTGCCCTAAACCACTGTGAAGAGCGTTGGAGGGAGAGACAGCATTTCAGGCAAAGGGAACTATGGAGACAGAGTTCACCTTTCCCAAAGAAGAAAAGGAAGCTGGTAGCTACATTGGTGAGAAGGCCAAATCAAAAAAATACTTCAACTTCCTTGCTTCACATATTTTACATACGCTTTAGAAGACACAGGCAGAAACCCAGCTTTCTTGAGGTGGACAAGGACACCAATGAGGCTGCCTGCTGGCTGCCTTGAGCATCCCTTTCCTGGGCCCACAGTGTTCTGGCTGGGGCAGCCACAGCAAGGATGGGGGCCACTTTGCTCTTTCCCGCTGTCTTTGTGGTAAGAGGGGCATGACTCATTGACCTGTGGGGTAGCAGATAGGTTGGGGTGTGCTTTTGAAATGCACCAGAAAGGGGGAGCCAAGAAGGAGTGGGTCCGTGTGCTGAGAGGAGGAGGCCACAGGCAGCAGCAGGCCTGGCCCATTCTAGCTGTTGGTGAGTTGTGAGAAGGAGGTGGGCGGGGCCTGGAATCCCAGAGCATAGAACCGAGCCCTGTGGGTGTCATGCAGAGGCTGCTTGCATGAGGAAGGCATCTTTCTAGACAGAGGGAGCGATCTCTGGGGGCTCTCCATTACTTGGAGGCCTTCTTAAAGGATGTATTAAGCCTTCTGCTGTTGCTGAAACTGCATGCTGCAGGCTGGGGTAATTTCTAGAGAATAAAGGTTTATAAGGCTAACACTTCTCAAATTCAAGGTCAGGCAGCCAGGGCATCCCATGGCAAGACTCAGAGTCCCATCTCATGTCTCTCCTAGAAAGCTGCAGTAGAGCAGATAAGGGCCACTCATTGCCTCAGTTAATTACCTAATTAGCTCCCAAAGCCCCACATCCAAGCATCATAACATTGGACTCTTTAAGGGTTAGGAGGAGACAAACACGGAAACCACAGCAAAGACTAGTAGACATTGCAGTCCCTTGGATTAAACATCAACATCCTGTGCAGGGGCCAGCTTCATACAGCCTGTGTGTCTTGGACAGGTGTTTGGGTGACTGAGGACCTACCCTGTGTGCTACATGAGCCCCTGTCCCCTCCAACCTCCCAGGAACCTAGTGACCAGAAGGAAGTGGCCAACCCAGGAGGAAGTAGCTGCTGCTTGCTGAAAAGAGAAAATCGGGGCAATGAACTTGCTCCCATGTGGCCAGCCTCTGGACAAACTTCCGGGGAAAAACAGAGCCAGTGACTAATCCTAGGCCATTTCCTCAGAGACTGTGGGGTGCAGCCAGGAGCCAGGAAAGAAGCACCCAGGCAAGGGTCTGCCTTTGCATCTGCCAGACCCCAGGGAGACAGCGTCACCAAGATGTCAACCTCAAGGGATGGTTGTGGAGGGAGGGGTGCAGAGAGGAAAATAGTTTTGCCACGTGAATGCTGTGTGACCTTGGATGCCTTTCCACCCTCTCTGGGCCCGTTTCCCACCTGTACAAGGGGCTGGATGGCTATATGATCTGCAGAGCCCCACCCCTGCCTTTTCTGAATGTAACAGTGGTGCAAGGCCTAACTATGAGAGTTTGGTCAACTTTCCGCAGCTCCCCGGGCCAGCAGAGGCTCTGCCCCTTTGTGTCTTCATGCTCTGAGCCCTCTTAACATTCCCAGATATCACAACCAAATTTTCCTTTTCCTCAGGGCTCTACTCCATCCTTGGGCTCAGCTGCCCACTGTGTGGTTAGTCCAAGCACTGCTCCTGTGGGTAACATATTCACTTCCTCCCTGGATCCTGCTGAGGGCCCATCACCCTCACCACCACCACTGGCACCACCAAGGCACAGAGGAGGCCTCCATCTCCAAGGCAGTCCCTGATGGTGGGGTAGGGGCAAAATACACACCTGGCAGGAGCCCAGAGCACACATGAAGGAAGAAGCTTGATGGGGCCCTGGAGGGCAAGGAACCAGAAGGACAAGGAAGCCCTAGAGATGAGATGCTTTGATCCCAGGACCCTGACCAGGGAGCAGGCTTCCGGAGCTATCAGCATGGCTCCACAAGGAACACCTGCAGCCTACATCCTGGAGGAGTGGGGAAGATCAGGGGCACTTGCTTCCTTACCTGCAGATGGGGCACAATAACACCATATTCTTCCTGGCACTGTCCTGGGTTCCTGCAAGTGGATGAAACCAAACCTTGGCCTAGCCCAGGACACTGGAATCTCAGTGTGCAACTGATCCCTACACAAACCTCTCCACCCACACCTGCCTCTGCTGGTGCCAAGCGATGCTGAGAGCTCATGTGGGCACAGGGCCTGGCCCCTGCCTGTCCTGGGGAGGTCCAGGAGGGAAGGGAGCTCCACAGGAAAGAGCCGAGCCAGGCTCAGGACCTCCATTTGTGAGCTCTGGTTTCCAGTGGGCCTCATTTCCCTGACAAATTGCCAGGCAAATCTGATGGCCGGTGGTTCTCTTTCCAAGCGGGCAGGCATCTGAGGCGATGGCCAAGCTCCCAGCCCAGGACTGGGGGTCCCTGGGAGCTGCAGGCCTAGTTAAGACTGCAAGTAGGCCCAAGGCCCCTTTACTTTAAGTCCCCAATGTATTGCATATCAACCCAGGAGTTCCCCATTCCCTCTAGGGCAGAAGTTCCCAGGCCTCCTTAGGTGCCTGAATCTGAAAAGTCCTCAAATCCCTTTTGTGAAATGGCACCGTGTTTGTGTGCAACTTACTCACATCCTCCAATATACCTTAAATCACTTCCAGATCACTTATAATACCTACTCTTTGGTTTACTCTACATCAATAGTTGTGATAATTTAGAAAATAATGACCAAAATAAGTCTGTACATGTTCGGTACGGACACAATTTCTCCCCTTGTATTTTCAATTCATGATTAGTTGGATTGGCTGATGATGAGTCCTGGGATACAAATGCAGACTGCCCTGATATATATTTTAAACGACATGGCCACATTTTGAGTTAAAAATACATATGCTTTTTGCTTTAAACTTTTGGAAAGACTGCTTTTCTGGTTTTGCTTTTAGAGTGGTTTTGCTGTGAGGGATTCATTGAATTTACCACTAGTAACTATCCCTTGGCAGTTTCCCAACATTTGAGGATGCCTGTGAAGTGAGATCACACAGCCTCCACACTGTTTTTTGGGGTTTTTGTTTTGTTTTTCTTTTTTTGATACCGGGGATTGAACTCCGGTCCTTGCATTTGCAGGGCAGGCACCGGGACCACTGAGCTCAATCCCCAGCCCTCCATGCTGTTTTTACATGGGAGGAAATCTTCATGAAAACTAAGTGAGGCTGAAGCTGGATTACACTGCATGGACATTTCATTTGTGAACTGTGTTTGGGAACAACACTGCCGTTGTTGTTCTCCTCGGATATTTCTAGGGGGTCCCTGAAAAGTTCCCAGCACCTGGCCATTGTCCTGTGAATAAAACCAGCAAGGTGTGTTTTCTGGACAGGCAGCCAAGGAGGACGTCCCTGGAGACCCCTCCCAGCCAGCACAGCTATATTTGAAGATGACAAGATGATTTCCCTGAGTGGCCACAAGGGGGCAGACGGGTCACAATAAGATTGGACAATTTTTCTGAGCTAGCACCACCCGCCTTGTTGGTTCTTATGTGCTGTGGACCCCCAACATGCCTGAGCTTTAAAATATCATCCACTTGTTCATTTGCTGATTCCTTCAGTAGTCACTGCACACAAGTCAAGACAACCTGGAAAGAGAACAATTGGGCGATCTCCATCAGAATGATAGATGCAAATTCCCTTTGGATTGGTGCTTTCGCCTCTGGGAAGCTTAGGGTAAGTCTGATTAGCTTAACCAGTTCTGTATGAGGTTATCAATTGATACATTTTGGGGAATAAAGGAGACTAGAAACAACCCAATGATCAGTGGGGGATTAGTTACAAAAATGATACTGTATCCACGCGGTAGGATTCTATGCAGCTGTAAAAGTAAGAATGGAACCCTCCTTGAACTCTTGTACAAGGAGACCCAGAAATGTTGTTAGTAATTTTACAAAGTGGGTGTAGAACACTGTTCAGCAATCTACCTTTTATGTAAGAAGCGGGGAATAAAAGCCTGGGCAGTGCATGGCTGATTCCAGCTATTTGGGAGGCTGAGGCAGGAGGATCACTTGAACACAGGAATTTGGGGCCAGTTTGGGGCAACAGAGAGAGACCCTGTCTCAAAAAAAGTGGTGGGAGGAGGAAAATAGGAATACAGATATTATTCAGACATTCAAGGAACAAATATGGATGGCCACGAGTGGAAATTAAGTGAGATTATAACTGGATGGAGGGGGAAAAAACTGGATGTATGTGTTTAATGCTTGGAGAGGAAATACTTTTATTAATATCTTTTTATATTTTACATTTTTAAAAACCATGTGGATGTGTCATCTACGGGAATGACAATTTAAAATGTACTTGTGTCAGGCACAAAAGAAACTGACCATTCATTCTCCACTCCCCAGGTTCGTAGAGCAAAGTCGTGTCTACAAAGCCTATGAGAATGTTGTGTCTGTAACCTAGCAGGTGCAGGATGGGCATTTGCTGGGGAGCCCTCACAGGCATTCTGCTCAGGAGCTGGCTATCCACAGCACCAGGCCCTGTGCATAGTCACCATTGAACAAGCTCAAGAAAGGAGAAGTAGGCTAGGAGTGCTGGCACTTACCTGAAATCCCAGCACTCAGGATGCTGAGGCAGGAGGATCTCCATAAATGTGAGGACAATTTCAGCTACATGGTGAGAATCTGTCTCAAGAAAAAGAAAAAGAAAAGACAGAAAGAAAAGGAGGGGAAGGGAGGGAAAAGGAGAGAAGGGGAGGGGAGAAGAAATAGAACGGCTTGGCCACACTCAGGGCCAGAGAGCCCTCTCTGAGCATCTTTCTAGAAACCCCTCAGCCCTGCTTTCTAGAGGACCAGCAAGCTGGGCACCTTCAGGACAAGGTCATGTACTGGATGATCTGCTGCATCTTGTCCTGCAGGAAAAGCAGGGCCTGAGAAAGAAGGATGCAGGAGAGGAAAGTGCTATAGGGACAAGGACGTCAAGTTCTAAGGAATTCCCAGCACAGGGATGGCTTGGAGATGGTGAATCACAACACCAGCCCGTGTGGCTGGGCCTCCTGGCCCCTGCACACATGGATTTGCTGGTTGAGTCAACAGACACTACCAGGTAGGCACTTTCTCTACCCTCCACTTTGACAGATGAGAAAAATAAGTACAGTGAGGTCTCAGAGCTGACAGAGGGGGGCAGAGGATCCTAACCCAATCAGTCTCACTCCAGAGCCTGAGATCTCTCCCTCTCCCCACAGAGGGCAGTGCTATTCCAGCATCCTCTCTATGCCTAGTGCCGGCACCCTTTAAGTGACCAAGGGCAAGGAACTGGACAATGGGATGCAGGATACTATCTGGGAGGATCTTTTCCTACCCCCACCCCAGGCTTTCAAAGCTCACCCAGTTCCTCAGCCTGGGCCCTGCCCCTCTCCAGGCCTCCACTTCCCTTGTGTATAAATATAGACTCCCCCTTATTTGCCTGATTTCAGAATCTCCACCCTGGATAGACAGCCTGGGCTCCACCTCCTTCTGTACACAAAGCCTTTATCTTCTTATGAAAATGACCAGGTTCTGCCCATAAACACCCCGTCTGAGAGAGGTGGGGAGAGAACGTGTCATGGAAAATCGCAGAGGCACATTTCTTTGTATTTGAATACTTCCAGGCCTTGCTTTGGCCGCAGACCAACTCTGGGCGGAACCCCACTTCCTCAGCCGTTTCTGTGCTGGGAACTTCTTGGGAATCTGGTGAGGCCTATAGACATCTCAGAATAAATTCTTAAGTGCACGAAATAAAATATATGCAAGGAAAAGTGGAAATAAACTATGTGGAGATAGGGCTTGTCATGCTAGTTTCTGAGGTAGTGACATGATGCCTGTGTGCCCGGATGTACATGGCCTACACTGGCCTTACTAGGTCTGAAATGGAAGGAGGAATTAACCAGCTCAGAACTTCCCCATCGAAATAGTTTCCTCTGTGAGGAAACTGTGTGTGGAATTCATATCCATGCTTTAGTAACAGGCGAAGTGTTGTGGGCTGTTGCCACAGGCTGGCTTTGCACTATGACAATGACAATAGGTTGGGGAGGAAGCCAGACCCACTATGGTAGCTCAAGGTGGCCTCCCCTCATCCAGGGCTGTGGCTGTGTTCCCATCAGTGACTCCAGCCAGCTCAGGTCCCCACCCCAAAGCATCAGGAAGACTCAACTGCCAGCCCAGAGGTGACAATGGGCTCCTGTGGCTGTGGCACGGGGAGGGCACAGCCCAGGCAAATGAGCTGAGATGTGGATATAGAGCAGTGGCTGTCCAGCTACACTGTGTCCATGCTCACTGGGATGGAAGGGAGCCTGGAGCAGCCCGGCCCAGGGAGGGGGCCTGGGGACAGCCAAGCCCTCGCCGAGCTCCAGGAGCTGGCCTTGAAGTGGTTCATGGAGACACAAGCCCCTTCCATCCTGCAGAATGGGGCCCTGCCCCCTTGGTTTCACGGATTCGTCACCCGCAAGTAAGGCTGCTGTCCCCAGGGCCAGCATGGCCCACAGCCCAGGGGGGCTAAGAGCCTGGCTGGGAACCCTCAGGCAGTGGATGGGCCTCTCCCTGTGCTGGATGGGCCAGGGGAGGTAGCGGACCAGGGTGCAGACAGAGGGGTCACTCCTATGAGCAGAGTGGGTACAGCACTAGCCCCACATGGGTTCATGGTAGCTGGGCTGCCAGGCTATACAGGGACAGAAAGAGGGAGGGTGACAGAGGGGACCGTCCCCGCAAATGTGGATGCTCATTTGTCCCAGAAGTAAAGGCAAAGTTTCAGGGTTTGCTTTTTGGTGGGCTGGCCAAGGCACTAGAGCAAGAATGAGGAACAGCCAGAAACGGCCCAGGGCCACGCAGGCACAAAGCCAGGGCCAGCTCTGTGAACACCGACACTGGGGACTGGGACTCACGCCTGGCTCCACTCTTTGCTATCCCAACCTAGAAACTGGAATAATGGGAGGGGGCCCAGAGGCACAGACTAAACCATGAGAGGCCACAGACCCCATCTGGATGGAGGACAAGCTGTCAGGCTTGATGGGCTGTCTGTGCTGGGTCTGGGCTGGGGGCACAGCTATGGGGCCTGAGCTGTGTGCCAGCCTAAGGTGGCCTAAGCAGCCGAAGCAGGCCTAAGCTGTGTGCCAGCCTGGGGTGGGCCCCAGGTCCCCACTAACAGCACATCCCCTGCCCAGGCAGACGGAGCAACTGCTATGTGACAAAGCTCTTGGGTCTTTCCTCATCCGCCTCAGTGACCGGGCTGCCAGCTACATCCTGTCCTACAGGTAAGCAGGTGCAGGATGTAGCCTGCAGGTGCCACAGGCCCTGCAGCCCGGAGCGGGACTGTCCCTGGGTGCCACCCCTCACTCCCTTCTGCATTGTCACCTTGTGACAGGCCCTTCTGAGCAGCACTGCCATGTGCCAGGGCCGAGGCTGAGGCCATGGGGGGTGGTGAGTGGGGGCTGGGAGATGAGGCTCAGCAGGTGAGCTTGGAGCCCCAAAGAGCAGCAGTTTGCCAGCAGGAAAGAGGGTGTGGATGGGATAAGAGATGAACCCCTGTGTGCACAAGTACAGAGGCCTCAGGGACAGGGTGTGGGGGAGCCCGAAGTCACTGGATGCAGCAAGACGCAGGGTCCCTCTACAACAACGCCTGGAGAGCAGGGAAGGCAGCCCGGGACTCTGGCGAAGGCCACAGTGACGGTGAGTCTGGTCACATTTCTGTCTCACCAGGTCTTCTAGGCAGCCTGTGGAGGGAGGCCTGGACATGAGGGGATGGAGGGGACACACGCGGGATGTCAGAGGCTGAAGTGGAGGTCAGGGTAGAACAGGGGCCTGCAGAAGTCAGACAGCAGAGCTGATCCCGGCCCAGGAATAGCTGGGTCAGGAAGGCAAAGGGCGAAGGTGGCCCTGGGTCAGGAAGAGGCGGGGTGCCAGGGTGAAAGGTTCAGTGTGATTCAAAATCAGCATCAACAGAGACTTCCCCAGCTTAAATCCTTACCGTGAATAAGTTTCCTCGCTTCCCTGTGCCTCTGTTGTCCCTTATGTAGAAGAGGAATAATACAGAACCTACTTCCCATGACTATTTTAAAGTATCCAGGGAGGGAACATAGTAGGACTAAATAAATGTCAGTCGTTGTCCAAACAGTTACTTTTTAAATGAGCCAGACACAATGCCAGATACTGTGAAACATAGCAAGTCAGCAGTTTTCAAGTATCTTTTCAGCATCGGGATTTTTTGTTTTGTTTTGTTTTGTTTTGTTTCTTTGTTGTTGTTGCTTCTCCTCTAAATGATATCTGAGGCAACTTGCAAAAGAGATCAGAATGGGGCTGCTCAAAGAAATAGAAATAGAGAAAAGGAAGAGAAGGGAGGCCAGAAAAAGTCCAACACATCTGTTCCCAGATCCACAGCACTTCCCATCTTTCCCATGGAGGGTCCGGCCACAATTGGACATCCAAATGGGAAAAAAAGGCCACTGCTCACACCATGTACACAAATGAATTCTAGAAAGATCATAAATCCAAGAGGCAGTAAGATTTCTCAGAGAAAACAGGAAAACATTTTCATAAGTAAATGAAAATGCCTGAGAATGGGATGAGCAAAGATTTCTTAAAATAAATTTGATTTCCTTAAAATAATTTTTGATAATAAAAGATGCCATTATGTAATCCCAGCACTCAGGAGGCTGAGGCAGGAGGATCGCTGTGAGTTCAAGACCAGCCTGGACTACATAGTCCAGGTCAGTCTCAACAACATATCGAGACCCTCCCTATCTCAAAAAAAAAAAAATGCCATTAAAGGAAGAAAAAGTCGAGGCAGAATATTTCAATACATATATCTAACAAAGGACTCATATCCAGAATATAGAAAGAACTCCTACAGATAAATAAGAAAAAAAACCAGACAATCCAAATAAAAGCAGATGACTTCAAGGGACACTTCACCAAATAGAATATCCAAAGGTCCATAAATGTATGAAAAAGTGGGGAAATAAAAATTGAAATCACAATGATGTGGGCGTGGTGGTGCACTCCTGTAATTCCAAGATCTCTGGGAGGCTAAGGCAGGAGGATTGCAACTTCAAGACTGCGCAATTTAGCAAGACTGTTTCAAATTTTAAAAACAATTAAAAAGGAATGGAAAAGGGCTGGGTTAAAGCCCCAGTTCCACCAAAAGAAAAACAATAAATGGCTAAAATGAAAAGAGGGATGTTATCAAATAGGTGGTGAGGCTGTGGAATAATAAAGCACTCACATCGAACAATTTTAGGAAATGATTTGGCCCAATCTATTAAAGCTAAACTGGGGACTGGGGTTTAGCTCAGCAGCTCTGCACCTACCTGGCAAGCATGAGGTCCTGAGTTTGATCCCCAGTATTAAAAAACAAAAAGGCTAAACCACCTCTGACCCATCAGTTCTACTACTTGGTGTGGTCTGAACAGAAATGAGTCCATATATTCATGCAAAGAATGTTCACAGCAGCTACATTTGTAACCTAAATGCCCATCCACAGAACATGTAAACTGAATTCTTTCATCAAATGAAATATTGCACATAAGGGAAAAGAGAAACTAATTCTACATGAACATCAATTAATTGATTGGTAATCAATCAGATCGGTTGAATGAAAGATGCTAGATATAAAATTGGGTAGAATTTCATTCACATGGAGTTCCATAAAGGGTAAAATTAATCAAGGTGATGGGGCCAGGTGGCAGCTCCTGGGAGGGCTGGACTGGGGTGGGTCCTTGGGGTTGGAAGGGTTTGTATCACGCTGGGAGAGCTCACGTGTTGGATGTTTAGAATGTTTGTGACTCCTCGTGTGTCCGTTATTCCTCCGTACAGAAGAATGATGCAGAGGGTAAAGGTAGAGGTGGAAGCCCACTGTTTCAGCAGTGTGGGGGTTAGAATGAGTTGTGAAGATACAGGGTTACATCTTGTCTTCATTTAAAATTATGAGATTTTGCCTACCATGGTTTTCTGGTATTCATTCTTGTCTTCTGAGGGGTTCTGAAGGTGAGTTTCTCACTAGCCTCATCCTGGTCCAGCCCTTCCTCTAGATTTCACCAGCGTAGGCCCAGGTCCTTCCCAGGCTCCAGAGCCCAAGGGTGTGAAAGCCTCCTGAGCTCCCCAGGAACACCAGGGCTCCCAGGCAGGCAGGGCCTAGTTGGGCGGGGTCCAGGCTGGTGGGTCTGTCCTGGGTGCCGAGCTGAGTGAGGCCTCTCCTGCCCCAGGCTGGCCCAGAGCTCAGCCCCCCACCCCTGACCACACTTTTATGTTGCAGAGGCAGTGATCGCTGTCGGCATTTTGTCATCAACCAGCTCAGAAACCGGCGCTACTTGGTCTCAGGGGACAACCTGAGCCACGGCACCCTGGCCGAGCTGGTGCGCCATTATCAGGAGGTACAGCTGGAGCCTTTTGGGGAGACGCTGGCTGCTGCCTGTCCCCGGGTAGGTTCCTCTCATCTCCTGGTTAGGTAGCGAGCCCAGACAAAGGCATCCTTCACTCAGCCATGTCCTGTTTTGCCTTCACTGTCTGCTGCCCTTGGGTACTTGGGTGGGGACAGGGTCTCTGTCTGAAAGGGGATTTATACCATCTTGCCTGAGGTCAGGGGCCAGGTGGGGACCTTTCATTACTTGGGAAGCCACTGAGGACCTTGCACCTGCTGTGTCCCCACTGACCCAGACAGAGGACTACGATCTGTATGATGCCATCACTCTGGGCCTCCACCAGACCAACCTGGGCCTGCAAACCCTACCGGCAACATTTCCCACCACAGTACCTGACAGGACTGCCAGCCCCCGTGTCCCTGTGAAGGCCCAGGGGTCCTTCCTGCACACAGAAAAGAGCGTAGACCCAGATCCCTGGAACCTTGCCAAGGAGGACAGCACCAAGGTGAGGAGATTCCAGCCACCCTGGGGAGGGCTGCCAGAATGGAGATATGGGTGCCACTTCAGTGAGCCCTGTGTGCTGTGCCCAGCAGTCCCTCCAGCTGCAGGGTGAGCACCAGGCCAGGCAGGAAGCACTGGCAGCTGCTCGTGTCAGGCCTGCCCCCGGCTCACTGGACATGTGTCATGTCTGCTCTCGAAAATTTTGGGGCTGCGCGGCTCTGAGCCAGTCACACAATCTCTCCCTGCCTCAGTTTACAGTTCCTGATGTTCCCAAAGGCATGAACGAGAGAATGGATATGAAATGGCTGGATGTTCCCAGGGAGTAGAGGGGTTGCCTGAGGGTCAGTGTTCTCCTCCTCAGCACCCCACAGGAGGGACTCAGAGCGCCTCCTCAGTCTCTCTCAAGACTTCTCACATTTAGCCTAGGATCGAGACTGTCACCCAGCTTCTCCCACTCCAGGCCTTGGGCTTGCAGTGCCCTTGGCCTGGCACGCTCTTCTCTCCAGATGTCTGCCTGCTCACACTTTCGCTGCCCTCAGCCTCTCTCCCATCCCTCCTCAGAAAGGCCACTTACACTTCAGAAAACATCCCCTTCCCCCATTGTTCTCTCAGGCCCATTCCCAGCACTGACCATGACTGATGCCACATGATCTCGTGATACATTAACATGCAGTAAGGGCCGGGGATTTAGCTGTGGTGCCACACCTGCCTCGCAAGTGCGAGGTCCTGAGTTCGATCCCCAGCATGGGACAGAAAAAAAGAGATTTGGGGGATGTAATAGTCACACTTACTCTATCATACAGTGGATCCAGATTCTGTGTAAACTCTCCAGAGCTGACCTTGCTCACCACAGAGTTCTCAGCACCCAAGAGTGTCTTCTACACAGTTGGTGGGCCCTAAATACTTGGAAAAATCCACAAGCAATGGACTGGTGGGAGTAGGGGGCTGAGTACTAAGTGGGGGGATCAGAGGTCCCAAGGACTAATGGACCACAGGGGCAGGAGCAGGGAGGGGTGACGTTGGGAAGCCCAAGTCCCTGAATGCCAAAGTAAGGTCCATGCTCAGAGTCCCGGAGCATGAGGGCTGTCAAGGACTCTGGATAGCATTCCAACCCTTTCCTGTAACAGTTGGGTAAACCTGAGAGACCCCAGGCAACCTGAGGACATCTCTGCAGTGGGTGCCCTTATGGTCTCTGTCTCTCTCTCCCTAGGTCCGAAGCAGGGTACCCCCACTCCCTGAGAGGAGTACCTCCCTCCTGGATAAGTCTCCTGCCACCCCTGGCAACATCATCTATGCGGACCTGAGGAAGACAAGCCAGGCACAGCTGGGTTTGGGCACAGCAGTGTCCAGCCAGGCCTGTGTCCCAGGCAGGGAGGCCCTGCAGAGACTCTCAGATGGAGACCAAGACAGGCCTGACGACCTGGGGCCTATTCTCCCTAGGCTGAGCCCAGACCAGGGCCCCAAAACACTTCCCACCTCCTGGGAACCACTCCTGCCCCCCAGCTCCGAGGCCCAGGGATCCTGGGCTGCTACACGGAGGCAGGGGTTTCAACAGCTGAGCCATGAGGCTCTGTCCTGTTCCCAGGGCAGCTTTGCTGATGACCTTGCCAGGGCTACAGGTCTCCTGCAGGAGGCCTGTGATACAGATGACCAAGAGGAACGGGCTTATGAGCAGATCCCAGCCTGCCGGGGTGGCCCAGCCAAGATCCTGCCTCCCAGGGCCAGTCCCACATACAGCACACTGTCAGGGCCCACGAACAGTGCCTATGAGAGGACCTCAGGGACCCTGGAACTCCCAGAGCGGGGCAACACCTACGAGCAAATCCCAGCAGCCAGGAGGAAGGAGCCTGGACGGACACAAAAGGTATGCTCCGTGGGCAGAGGGGACTGTTGGGCCTGGGGACACCTTGGGCAAGGGCAGATTAGGTCATTGACCCTGCCCAGACTTTCCAGCCCTGCCTGCATCCGCCTGGTAGTGGTGGTGGTGACAGGGAGCTGCAAGATTCAGTGTTTAAGAGGTAGGTATTGGGGCCCTGACAGCTTTCTCTGCAGCAGATGGGCTTCCTACCCCTCTCTCAGCCTCTGCAACGGCCTTGGCAGGTCTTGGCACTCAGAAAGGGAGAGGAGCCCTTGGCCTTAATTATGGCTTAACCTCCCAAATATCCTAACTTTGGGTAGGACAACTTCCCCAGAATTAGCAAGAGAAAGCACAGGGCATCTAGCTAAATTTGAATTTCAGATAAAGTACTTTTTGAAGTAGGCCTCAAATGCTGCAATTGGTCTTGGTTTGTTTGAAAATCAAATCAAGCAAGGAATTCTGTGTTCCTCATTGGAGATCCTCCCCAGGACCCCACCTCCTTCTCTGTGAAATGAGCTGGTACCTCTGGTTATGTACAGCTACAGCCCAGGGGACAGTGCTAGGTAACCTGTCACTCTGGGCTTAGCCATGAATAGGATGTTGTTTCTGAGAAGGAAGACAGGGGTTTCAACAGGAGTGGGGATCAGGAAGGTACAGGGAGGTGGTCCAGGTGGGGCCGGCCAGGGTTCCCAGGAAGCAAGAGCCCCACCCCTCATTCTGCCTGCACCTGGAGACAATGGCACCAAAAGGCCATCCCCACTGGCAGGGCCTTGGTCTCAGGCACTAGAAGCCTCTGAGATCCCAGGTGTGAGGCCTCTGCAGGAATCTCACTGGGTCCCCACTTGGTCAGGCTGTGCCCATGCTCACATGCAACAGCCTCCAGGGTCCAACCTTCCCAGGACCACAGAGTCCTTTAAGGACCTCAGCAGCCACATCCCAGGCCTGCTCTTCCCCTGGAGGCAGCACCACATCGTGTCTCAAACAAGGTGGCTCTGGGTACAACTCCTGGCCTCTAGCTGGGGTGTAAAGTTCTGGGGTCAGGGAAGATCAGGCCTCTGCAGGGAGGTCAGGTGGGGCCCATCATCACTTTCCACATCTTCTTTTGTATGCGTGTTGGTTTCTTTGAGATGGGGTCTTGCTATGTAGTCTGGACTGGCCTTGAACTCACTACATGGTCCAGGCTGACCTTCAAATTTGCAGTGATCCTCTTGCCTCAGTCTCCTGAGTGCTGGAATTACAGGCTTTTTCTTCTCATACTCTTCCTTCCCATCCCTTCCGTGGTCAGATAAGTGTGAATCCTTCCTGCTAAACTGGCATGTAAGGTAGTTTCATGCACTGGGAGAGGCATGAGAGAGGAGCCAGGAATATTCCAGCTACACCTCATTTCCCCGGGCATGCGCCCCATGCCAGGCCAGTGCCCAGACCCCCTAACCCCATGTTTCTCCCTCCCTGCAGCCTGACAAGCTCCGGAAGCTCTTCTTTGCAGACAAGAAGCACAGGTTCTGAAGAGGGTCTAGCCCCAGGGTTCCCTGGTCCCTGTACTGTGTTGGGATCAACTGAAGCTCTCCACTCACTGGAAGGCGCCCTGGAATCCTTAACCCAACCAACCACTGTGGACCAGGCTCTGAGATGCAGCCTGGTTGCTTGCCCAGAGGGACCTTCCTCAGCCTGTGTGCCTGTATGTCTTGCTCCCCAGCACCTGCCAACCACGCAGAGGAGGAAAAAGGCCACAGAGCAAGGACCGGCCATGGGCAGGGGTCAGCGTCCCACTTCCCAGAGGAGTGTACCAGGACAGGCTCGGAGCTCACTGGAGTGTGACAGACCTGGGCTGCCACAGATACTTTCCTAATGGACAGGGGACATTGTGCAGCTTTCTGGCTTAAGGTCCAACAGCAGAAAGGAAGAGGGGAAGGAGCTGCCTTCTTTCTCCTGCCACAGGGATGTGACAGCAAGGCCTGGCCTCAAAGCCACAGTTTGACCTTAAAATGGGTCAGGGCCTCCTCAGCCACCCACAGCTCCTCCTGGCTTTCCTCATCCCAGCCTCAGACACAGCTAGGCAAATCCTGATGTTCCCAGCCCAAATCCTTTGTGCTACAAAGGAGAAACCAAGGCCTCTGGTGGAGGGGCAGTAGATTGGGGCCACATTGCTAAGCAAATGCCCTCTAGAAAGGCTGCTCATGCTGGGGTTAATCTGGGACATAGTGGCTGGTGGCATGTGCAGCCAGCCAGGGAGTGCTGGGTGCCATCCCTGTGTGATCAGGCCACCTGGGCCTGACCTCTGCATCTAGCCAGTCTGATTTGTGGCCTTCACCCTGTGGCCTTGCCCCACAGAGCCGAAGACTGGCACAGCTCTAGACACGGCTCAGGTCTCTTACTCCTTCAGGCCAGGCTGGCTCTGCCTGGGATCCTTCCTGTTTTGTTCCTCATCCCCCTTGCCCACATGCCCCACCTCCATAAAGGTGACCACTGGGAGTAGTGACCAGGACTGACCTCTCCAGACAGAAGACCATAGGAACCTTCCCTCCTGCCTGACCCTGGGCACACGTGACTTGAAGCACATCTGGGCGGCCTGGCTATACAACTTCTCCCTCTGAAAAGCAGGGACATGACAGCCCCTATCTCCTGAGGGTGGGAGGATCGAGAAAGGTGTCTCCCCCCAGAGCACTGTGCTGAAACCAAAGGCAGTGCCTGGAGAGGGGAGGCCGTGCTTCACTTTGCACCAGAGCGCCGTGTCCATGGAGGATCCCAGCAGCCAGAAACAGGTGCCTCGGATTATCCCCTAACACCAGCAGACACAGAATGAAGGACAGTGTTTACTACAGGAGTTCACAAATCTGTGGTCAGCCCACATCAGCCAAATTCCACACCACTAGAGAAGGCGGCCTGGGTGGAGCTCACAAACCAGGCAGACAAGGATGGAGCCCTTTAGACCACTGCTCACACCCCTTTGCCTTGGGAAGGGTGGCAGCGGGGTGCAGCCTGGCATTTGGGAGGTAAATTGCATAGCTTAAAACCCTGACCTCTTTTTTTTTTCCTGCTTGTTACCGGACAACTGGGGTATCTGCCTAGCACATAGACAAGTGGGACCCCACCACCTCCCCTTAGGTTTCCTGCCTTTCCCTCCCAGGGAGACAGAGGACCCACAGAGGGACCATGGGCCTGGGGCTGGACCACCTCATACCCTCTTCCCTGGTTAGGTTGTTTTTTGCTGTTGGTGGTGTAAACCCAGGGCGACAGCTCCTCTCCTGGGCAGCCGGGGCCGCAGCCCTGCAGACAGTGTTGAGGATGGTGGGCTTCCAGGCCCTCTAGAGCCCTCAGATCCGGATGTGGAAAGTGCTGGGAAGACAGAAAGGGCAAGAGGGTGAGAGGCCACTGCAGGATAGGCAGAGCTAACCCAGGCCTAACCAGCCCTGGCTTTAGGGAAGCCACACTGAAGGGCCATTAATCACCCCATGGAGAGAAGTCCAGAAGGAACAGCGGCCCTTGGAGACTCCAGCCTCCAATCATAACCAAGAACCTTCAGGGTCTTCATGCTTCCCGTGGGAGTCTAGCCCCGCAAGGGCTTGCATGTGACCTTCTGGCCTATGCACACTGCCCATGGCTGTCTCCTGAGATGGGCTGCCCTCTATGACCCCAGCGTCCTGGTCTGCCTTGCTTGAGCCCTAGGCTGGCAGTACCTGAGGAAGTCGGGGGCCTTGGCGATCATGTCCTCAAAGTCTGCAAAGCCCAGTTTGCCATCGCCATCCAGGTCAGCCTCCTCGATGACCTTGTCACACACCAGCACCACCTCATCTTCATCCAGCTCTGACTTGGTGAGTCGGGCCAGTGTCAGCTCCAGATCCTCCTTGCAGATGAAATTGTCAGTGTTGAAGTCTACAGGCCAGAAGGGAGGTGCCAGGGGAGATGTTTGAGCCAGGGCTGATTCCCCAGAAGCCCCAAGGAGTCCTGCCCTATGTTAACCTTGTCCCTGGCTGTCCACACTGCCTTCTCTACCAGCCCCTGGCATACCCAGGGTATCTTTATGCACATTCCAGGGATACTGGGGAGCAAGGGGGCTCATCTACACGGCATATCTTAAACACACACAGTTGACAAATCAGTACTCAGAGCACCCCCAAACCCCATGAGTAAGTGTACAACCATAGCCTAAACCTGAGAGTCCCTGGGAACCTTGGACCTCCTGGCCTGACCCCAGTGGACTTCTAGAGCAAAAAGACACCAAGGCTGGCCTACATTCTAGGGGAAGTGACTGAGTTAATGCCAGAAAGCCATACAGAGAGGCAGTGGGGATCCTGCCTGAGGTCTACTGGACTAAGACCCACATTCCCTGAGTGGTACCATGTGCACAGGAGGGCCTGAAGTCACACATCTGCAGCTAATTAACACATGTATCACGTCATGTACAATACAGACATGCGATTTTATCTGTCAGTTAAACAGAAAAACCATATTGGGAGAAGCAGGAGCCCCTCAGAGCGGCCACACAATGGGCCTTGCACACACAGAGCAGAGAGCATGGTTTGGTTCCCCTGGGATGAAGGTCTGACTTCCATCCCCAGCACAGCAGAGGGGTTCATGGGACTGAATCACAGGTACTAGGCTCATCACAGAGAAGTGACACCCTTCTCACCACACTCAGCCTAAAGCCACTTGAGTTCTCCTGCCTCGGGTACCCTTCCAACAAACACCTATTCACCCTCCAAATTTCTGCCCAGGGGGAGCTTTCTAGATGTAAGGACTCCCTTGCCAAGTTTCTCAGCCCACTGGGCTGAGATGTGAATGATGGTGATGAAGATGGCAATGGCTGTGAGCACTGTGTGCCCTTCCTCATTTAACTACTCTATGGAAAGGAATTGCCAAGGACGCATCCCAGGTCCATGCTGGACCTACAGCCTGAGCACTCAAGGGTGCCCAGCACCACCTTCCTGTCTCAGCATTGGCTGTGAAGGCCTCTGGGATAGGCCCATGGTGGGTTCATCTCTGCCCTTGGGAGCACACATGAGGGTCTTTGCCAGACAGTGGACTGGGCCCTCTGCCCATTCTGCATGAAGTACAAATTGCAAGTCCCTTGTGGGCAGACAACAGCCTTTCCCAGACAGGTGGAATTCCAGAAGCTCTCAGCATGAACCATGCAGCATGGTTTAAGGGTAGACACACAGGAGCTGGCTTTCTAATATACAAACACATTGTGGACACAGCTAAGCCAAAATCTTCTGAAACAAACATCACAACAAATAAATGCAATCAGCCCTGATTGGTTGGGCTGCCTTAGGATCACAGCTGCCCAAGGTGCTGAGGACAGGAGGCTTATTACAGCTCTTGTGGTCCAGAACCAGAAGGACTAGCCCTCTTCAGACACTGGTGTCCATGTCTGGGAAGGGACACCAGGCCCACAGGCCTTCAGTGGGCGAGCTGAAGGTGAAGTTCCCTCCCTCCCGCCTGTGAAGGGGAGAATTATTGCATTCTAGCACCCCCTGGTGGCCCTTGAGAGGCAGGCCATGGACTGGGTCATGAAATGGGTATTTGCTGCCTTCCCTCTCTACAACCGACTGGGCCTCCTTTCTGGCCCCCACACTCTATAGGACTCTCTATAACCTAGCTGCCCTTGCCCCGGAGCCCTGCAGTTCCAGGGCCCTGAGCACTAGGCTGCTGCCTGGCTTGGTCCCCACAGCCTGGCCCTAATCTGCCTCTGGACTCACTGCTCTCCCCATCCCGTGCCCCAACCTCTCCCGTTTTCCTGAGCCTTCACCATCTTGCTCCTCAAAGTCCACAAGGACACCCCCTCTGCCATAGATGCCACCCTGTGTCTTTGGGAAACATGCCTCCTCAGGTCCCAGATCCTGACCCAATATCACCACATTTGTCTCTTACTCACACCAAGACTCTCCCAGGTGTGGTTTGTCCTCCTGGCCAGACCCCAACAGAGCCACTGCTCAGAGGACAGCTTAGATACCTGTCCCTATGCCCCACACCCTGTGTCCTCAGCACACGCCCCACACGCTAGGTCCTCACCGTAGATCTTGAAAGCGTAGTTGGCCTTCAGCTCCCGGGGAGCTGACTCACAGAGCACAGAGAACATGTCCACAAAGTCGTTGAAGGTGAGGTTCCCCTCACCATCCTCAGAGAAGGCCTCCACGATCCTCTCCTTGAAGGGGTTCTCCTGAGGAGGACAGCACAGCCATCACTGTCACCGAGCCAGCCAAGCAGGGGGCTCAGAGATAACAGCATGCATGGCCTCACATGTGTGGCCTGACCCTCTGAACCTTCGTTTCCCTTCTGCAAAATGGGAACAGTGAGGGTATCTGCTCGGCTGGATCATCAGGGACTCCAGGAGCTGAAGCGTATGCAGGTGGGAGCCAGTCTGGAAGGGTGAGGAGCCACACGGGACCTCTGTGTGCTCACAGGAGCTGTGCCAGAGGCAGGAGCGAGGACCTGCCCTGGAGCCTGGAGCAGCTCCAAAGTATCCCCTCCACAGGAGGAAGACAGCACCCAGGGAGGCAGAGGTGGAAGCAGGGCCTGAAAGGCCGGATACCTGGACCCAGACACTCAGCAAGAATCACAGAGCCAGTGCCAGCACCAGGCCTGCAGTCACCAAGCCACCTCCTGCCCCTGAGGACTGGGCATCAACCCACTTCTCCGATGCTCTCAGACTCCCTCATCCCTGCTGGCCAGCACTCAGCCAGCTCACTGTGTGCCAGGCTCAGGCCGCCCAGAGGCTCAAGTACAAAGCCTATGGTTCCTTTCCTTGGGCACTGCATGCTCTCCATTCTGTGAGCCTGGTCCCTTGCCTTATAGGCAGGTGCTCATCCAGGTCATGTCCGTGGCTCATCTCTCAGGGGACACTGTGCTGTCCACTGACTCCACCTTCAGGACCCCAGCCCCAGCCCAGAGCTATTTTCAAGGCTCCCTGGCTGTGTGGAGTTTGCCCAGGTGCCTTCTACTGCTGGGGTGCACTTCAGAGGCTGGGCAGGGAATGTGGGGATGGAGCACCCAAGAAGTGTGTAACCTGGGCACAGAATAGCAGCCTTGCCCAGCAGCTCCAGATGTGCTGAGCTTGAGCCTGCATTCTGAAACCAGTCCCAAGGGACTTGGATATGTGTCTGAGAAGTGACACTGTCGATGGCCATACTGACCTCAACAAGGAGCCACGGTCATGGAGGGGGAGGAAAAAGGTCACCTGAAGGAGAGCAGGTCAGGCCACTCTATGAAAGGCAGGCAGGTGGGCAAGGACTGGCATTGGGCCCTGGGAGGGCACAGACCCACAGCCCTGCACAAGTGACTCATTCCCTCACTGAGACATGGAGAGGTCCAGACATCTTCTCAGTGCCACACAGCCATGCAGGGAGGTGCTCAGATGTCACCCAAATGGGTGCAGATGCCCATCCCCTGCCCACATGCAGGGCATGCACATACCCGGAGCTCCGGCATCTGGATGATTAGGCTCATGGGCACATGGACAATGGGGCTCTTCCTGTAGTCCATGGGTACCAGGTTGGGAGCCAGCTCGTAGAACCGTGCGTGTAGCCTTAGGGAACAGAGGTAAGGCATGAGGGGCTGCCACCGTTTCCTGGTGCCCTCCAACCTGGTCTGGCCCAGCTCTGAAAACCAACCTCAACCAGGCCCAGATGAGAGGCAAAAGGGGACTGACTACTCTGCCCACAGGAGATGGGGTTGGCAGGGAGGGGAGCTCTGCCCAGAGCCCTGTGCTGACAGAGACAGCGCTTAGCCCCGCTGTTTCTACCACTACCTCCTCCTCCGGCCCTGGGCCCACACTCAGGTCTTTCCACTGTTTCCTCTGTGCTTAGCACCTCACAACAGGTTATCTATTTAACCTCCTCCCCATCACTGTGCACACAGATGCAATCCCGTTTACCGCTCAGTAAACCAAGGCCTGAGAGTGAAGGGTGATTTGTCTAAGGCCACACAAACCTCTCCTCTCCACTAAGTTCAAGAAGACTTACATATTTGTCCTACCCTAACATCTAGGACCAGACACACTTGTGCTACTTGAACTGCTCGAGCATAAGGCAAATATGAAAGCTTTCAGGTTTATTTTAGAAAGTTAACAGTGGCCTAATGGCGGGACCTAATAAGCGGTATCTAGAATGAGCCAAATGTACCTCACACCTAAGCACAAAAGTCTTCTAAACTAACACACCCACAAGTCTCATCCCAGAGGGTCTAGAAGAATGAGTCATTAGGACCAAATAGGGTTTCTGTCAATTAAATGCATATATGACTGTATGGCTGAATTCACACAAAAAAATACCTGGTAAGTTCCATACCACAAGTCACACTAGAGATCCCTTTGACTGTGAGGGGAGAGGTGGTGGGGGGCTGGTTTTACTCATTGCTTTTTACCTACTTTTGAATATTTTAGGGGGTTTAAACAATTTTTTGGTGCTGTAGGTTGAATTCAAGGCCTCATACCTGCAAAACACTCTCTACCCCTGAGCTATACCCCCAGATCCAATTTGTTTAGTTTTTTAAAGTATTTGTTAACAAAAATAAAAAGTATGCTAAAAGTATGCATTATTTTTAACAAAAGATAATTTAAAATGTTTAGCAAAACAAACAAAAGGAGTTTTTTCTTAGAACTAGAAATGAAAGGACATCTCTATCTCAAATCAGTATCCAAAATTATACTTAAATAATAAAATACAGGGATAAACCCATACAACTGGGATACCTATAATCACCATTAATGTATAAGGTTACCTCAGGAGTGCTTGCGAATGTAATTAAGACAATGAAATACTACATTCAAATATTGGAAAAGAGAAAGCAAATTATGACTATTTGCTGGAAAATCAAAAATAATCATCTTTAAAACTATTTGAATTAGAAAAGGCTCAGGATCTTTTCTACACAGAAATATATATACAGTTACAACTGGCTTGACACATGAACAACTTGGGTTACTTCTGGAATTCTCACTTTAACTTACAAAGTCTTGAGTTACAACCTGAATGCCGGCTGCTTGTACTTCCAGATGGTCTCAGATACAGATTCAACCTTTAAAAGAGTTCTGGAAGGACCATTACGGCATCCTTTACTGTGTGGGGTTAATTAAGAAATCCTGGGCCAATGTCTAAGCACACTGAGATCTGTCTGTGTACAGGAGAGATTTTGAAGGCTAAGGAGCCTTGAGCCTTCAACTGACCAACCTGAGTTATAACCAGGCCTTGGGAACAAATTGAGTTTGTAAGTCAAGTGTTCATTGTATATTCACATATATTTGTGTCTCAGCATTAGTTTATTTAAAAAATGATTACAGGGAGTAGGGGTTGAAGGGAGGGAAGGAGGATGGAGAAAAAGTAAGAACCAAGATGGATTATGTAAAGGTGTAAATTTCCAATGGTGAATGTCACTACGTTGTAGACCTTAAATGTACCAATAAAATTAATTAATTAAAAAAATGATTACGAAGCCTCATTCAAAGCTGGGCTGCACCTCAGTGCTGGACACTTGCCCAGCATGTGGGGGCCACTGGGTTCAATCCCAATTTCACATATACACAAAGTGAAAAGGTCCAATTCACATAACTCAAAAGAATCACAAATTCAGAAATGACTAAATATAAAAGTAATACAACTTGTATATTAAAAATGGAACTGCACCTGCCTGGCAAGCTCAAGGTCCTGAGTTTGATCCCCAGAACCAAAAAACAAAAAAACATAAACACCCCCAAAACACTGAACTTAGCTGGGAGTGGTGGTGCACTCCTGAGATTCTGGCGCACGGGAGGATTATCCCTTGAGTTCAAGGTCAGCCTGGGCTACAGAGTGAGTTCAAAGTCAGCAAACAAAAACCAAACAAACAAACAAAAAATAGAACTTTATCAAAGGCTATTAAAATATTTTAGGTAGTTAGATAACTGTCATGTTTTTCTAATTAAAAGACTTAATATTGCAATGAAGCCAACCTTCTCTTCATTTTTCCTTAAAATAAATACAATCCTGATCAAGATTTGCAAAGGAACTTGCCTGATTCAAAACTTTGGAACAATAAATTGGAAGAGTTGGGGGAAAGAGCTGTTTTTTTTTTATTTTGTTTTTGACCGGGGATCGAACTCAGGACCTTGAACTTGCGAGGCAGACGGCAGCGTCAGTGAGCTAAATCCCTAGCCCAAAAAAGCTTTTTTAAAAACAGCAATTGGGAGAACATTTGCCCTATTAGATACTAAAAGAGTTTAAAGCAGTAAGAAGAAAAAATAGTACGGAACTGACACTGGCACTGAAGGACAGTGTACTGGGAGAGGACTGCAGAAGAGAATCAGTCTATGACATACAGCATTTGAAATCCCCGGGGAAAAGACTACTTTGTCTGAATGTCAAAAACCAGTGTCCACCTTCATGCATGGCTTTCACAAGCTATTTAAAATATAATTAGCCAGGCGTGATGGCACACGCCTGTAATCCCAGCACTTGGTAGGCTGAGGCAGGAGGATCGCTGTGAGTTCAAGAACAGCCTGGGCTACACAGTGAGTTCCAAGTCAGTCTCAACTACATAGTGAGATCCTGTCTCAAAAACAACAAAAACAACAACAACAACAACAACAACAAAAATATATATATAATTAGCCACATGTGGTTGCACAGGTCCATAATCCCGACTACTCGGGAGGCTAGGTCAGGAGGATGAAAAGTTTGAGGCTAGCCCCAGCAATCTAATGTGGACCAGTCTCAAACTAAAAAATGAAAAAGGGCTGGGAGACAGCTCAGTATGAGGACCTGGGTTCAATTCCCAGGAAGATGATGATGATGATGATGATGATGATGATGATGATGATGATGCGTATTTAGAACTTAGTTGCCAGTGTTTACAAAGGAAGAGATTTCACGTTATGCAGCTGGGTTTCCTGGCCATGCTGGGGCCGACAGCTGCTGCTTCCACAGAGGTCCATTCTAAGGTTCCACTTAACAGTGCAAGCTGGCACCCACAGACAGCTGAGTTTTAGACTTCTAGATTAGTAGCTCAGTGTGGAGGCCCTGGATATAATCCCTAGTATTCCAGACACACACACACACACACACACACACACACACACAGTTGAGAAAATAAACAATAAGGTAACAACTAGGCAAACACCTTGGGGTGCTAAAGGGCTGAGACTTTCTGCCTGAGGGGACAAGGACTCCTGTCCCCTGCATTCAGGAACACCACAGAACTGGGACAGGGAGCTGAAGCCCTGAGCTTCACAGAAGGAAAGAGGCTGGTAGAATAAGGGGTCATGTGGGGCTCAGTGTAGGGTGAGGGAGAATGGGGCCTACCACTTCTTGACACCAACCCACACTGCTGAGGAGAAGAGTCCCCCGCTCAAGCTTCCTCCCCGCCAGCAGTCACTGCTGCTTTCCAAAATAGCTGGGAACAAGGCTGGGAGGAGAGCGGACCACAGACGGGTCTGCACCGTGTACAGTGGGTGGTCCCAAGGGGAGGGGGAGGGGGGACATCAGTCACCCTGGCTCTGCTAGAGCCCAGGAGGGGGACTGAGGAAAGCAAGGGGGCTGAAACAGGGATGGAGCCACCATGTCCCTGCCAGGAGAGCTCACCAGGAGTCCTGCCTGTCTCTGCCCTTCCCACAGGGTAGGAGGTGAATGGCAAACCCTGGGTGTCCTCTACGACACTTAACACTGCCACTCTGGCCCCTCCGGCCACAGGGACCTGGAGTAAACAGCACCAGAGATACAGGTGGGACCCCTAAGACTGCTGGGGACAGCTAGGGCTCCTGCTCCAGGGTGACATGGCGGGGACAGACCCAGGCCTCCTATTCGATGGGGACATGATGGGGAAAGGAAGCTTCACACCCGCCCTTGGCTAATATACAGAACAAGCCCCAGGTTCAGTTCTCCAAGTCCCGGAGAGTGCTAACCCAGGGGCAGGTCTTGAAGGAACAAGTGACAGAGTGGGGAGGGTATCCACAGTCTGGAGGAGGTGTCCAGCTGCCAGGGGTCCTTCACCTCTCTTGGCCTCGGGCTTGGCTTCGAGCTACAGAGGCTGGGATGCTGCCGGGTACAGAGTTGGGCAAGCCAAGGCTGTAGGAACCAGGACACCCCCAAAGCCCGGGCATAGCTCGGGCTCCCGCTGTGGCCTTGAGCCACCCTCCCCTGGGGGCAACCCTGCTGCTCTCAGTAAGACCAGTTGAGGAGTAGGAGAGGCCATGTCCTTCACCCACTGCTCTCCAGCTTAGAACACCCTCCCGTCCTTTACTCAGGCTTCTTGGCAAATCCAGGTAGTGCTGGCGTCTAAGCCAGTGATGCCCAGAGCTCCCTAGGCTGTGAGAGAACTGTGTGCTGGGGTGCCAGGAGATGGAGGACACACAGCTGACTCTGGAGGGAAGTGTGGCAATGTCAAGGTGGGAGTGACAAATTGGTCCCAGGCAGCAGGGATGGCCTGTAAAAGTGCCAGAATGAAAATGGTGTGGGCCTCAGGAGATACAGCCTGGGGGGCATCTGCGACACAGGGCAAAGCTTAGGAAGGTCTGCCCACCAGAGCACGTAGGCAGTGACCGTGGGCTGTATTCAAGAGCCACCCTGTCCCAGTGGGGACTTTGCTCACATCACCAAGCCACAGGCCAAGTCCCAGCCATCAGACACTAAGTGGGGTGCTTCCCCCAGTTCCCAGGAAAGCTGAGGCAGGGGGGGTCACACATTGCCTGTGGCCACAGAGCTGGGACTTGGGAGTACAACCCAGGTCCCCCAAGGCCAGGCCTCTGAGTGGAGAAGCAGGTGACCCCACTTGTCTGGGGACAGGTAGAGTGGCAGCCTGCACAGGCACGCTGTCCAGCCAAGCAGAAAGGTAAGGGACACACTGCAGCACAGAGCTCGGGAAGCCACACAGGCGCTGGGCCAGCCTCTACTGCTCTCTAGGGAACACGAGCCTGAGGCTTTGCTGTTTTTTGTTTGTTTGTTTGTTTTTGTATCGGACATCAAACTCCAGACCTTGCACTTGCTAGGCAGGTGGGAGAACACTGAGCTAAATCCCCCACCCTCTGCTGGCCTCTGATGCCATCTGATAGCCTGAGCCAGGGTCCGGCCAAGGCCACAGGGCAGGCTTCCCACTCTGATCCCAGCTCTCTGTCTGGTCCTGAGGCTCTGAGACCCCTCATCTTTCCTACACTGGACCACTCCCCGGACCTACCAGGACAGGGATGCCCCTGATGTCTAGACCTCCCAGGGGCAGAAGGACATTGGAGCTGGAATATAACAGACATGGGCTCCCTGCAGTAGCTGCCCCACAATGCAGGGAAGCAGCAAGGGACCTGTCAGTGGCCAGTCTCTGGTCCCTGGCCATGTTGCTGAGTCCCTGAGCCACAACTGTGTGGTAGTGGTGGGGTAACAAGATCTTCTTGTTACAACGTCAGGTGAGGATTAAATGACTCCCACCCTGGAGAGAGGCCAGTGTAGTAAACAGATGCCGCGTGCCTGGCAGAGGAGCTGGGAACAGGGGGGAGCTCTCAGGTCTGCACAGTGGCCCAATACACCTGAGACCTGGACACAGTGCCCAAGCCCTTCCTCAGCACCAGCTCCTGTAGGCAGCCCACACAGGGTCCCCAGCCCACCCGGCTGCAGCCCCAGCCCTAAAGGGGTGACCAGAAGCCACACTTACTTGAGGATGTCCTTCTTATTGAAGAAGGTGCAGTCCTGTGGAGGAAAAACACATGTGGTGGGCCTAGGGTCCCAGGCCCCTTCCTCAGCCCTGCAGGCACAGGGCATCACAGGACAGTGCTGGACAGGGCCAGAAGTTGCCACGAACCCTGCCCAACTTGTCCAGGGACAACTGACTCCAGGGGATCTTGGGATGCTGGGCCAATGCATGTAACCCACTAGGTTGCACAGTAGGGAGAAAGACGGGGTACTAACAGGTGGGCATGGCTGACTTGAGGGCCAGCAGGATGTGCTACGGGAGGACGGCAGCTAGACACAGCTCTGGAAACCCCACATTGCAGGCCATAGGCCTTTCCACCTCTGCTCACCATTGCAGCATGATGGGAGAAAGTCTCCTTGGCTGGATGCTGGGCCCAGTGGGCTCCTGTAAGCAGCAAGTGACAGCCAGGTAGGCCTTGGGTGCCACCTGGAGCCGCTGGACACCACAGCAACTGGGCTGCACACTGAGGCAGCTGTGTGAGGATGCACAGGGCACACACAACAGCAAAGCTTCCAGGTAAGCACCTCCAGCAGAGCTGGGAGGCCCCTGGTGTGGCTTTCCAGGAGCTGTGGAGTCCAGCGAGTCTGTTCTTCTGTGGTCTGTGGCTTCCTTGTTAGATGAAGGCCCCATGCCGCTTTGCCCCTCTTGGAACGAAACCCAGTGGCAAGGGGGTAGAGGGTAGGGTGGGGAGTGGGAGTAAGGGGGTGGCTGCTTTGCTTTTGTCAATGGCTCTTTTGTGGAAAGACTCAGGGAGCACAGATAGGAAACTCCCTGCCTAGCAGGCCTAAAACTCAGATGGGAAGGGGCCATGTGGCCAGATTCCCCTCAGAAGGCCTCAGGCCTGAAGCAGGCAGCAGAGGCAGGGGGCTGTACCTCCTAGGTACAGACCATCCCCCATGGAAGGACTAGAATGCAACAAGTCCCGGCTCCCCTCTCCCCTCACCTGACCTGTGGACCCCACCTCCCCACTTCCCTTCTCCTCCCTCTCTGATTCGTGGGTACCAGTGGAAAGATGCACGAGTTCCCCACATAATCCTGGTCCACAGTTACATTTCTCCTCACCAATAGTCCTTACGGCATTGTACTTGGACCAGCAGCAACCTTGCTGGGAACTTGGTGGAAATGCAGACTCTCAGCCCCCACTCCAGATTCTGAAACAGACACTCAAGGGGCCCAGGAACCTGCATTTCCAACATCTCCCACCAAAGCTGAAGTGAGCAAACATGAGGACATCTGCCCTGGAGCAGAGTCCCCTGGGGAGCTGTTTAGAATGTCTATGCCCCTATGATCCCTCAGCAGACCCCAAACCAATTACAAAGGAATTTCTGGAGGTCCACCTGGGAACCAGGGGTCTTCAAAGCCACTTGGGAAATTCCAAGGTGCAGTCAGGCCAAGAGCCATAGCACAGTAGGATGTTTATCATGTACCTGGCTCTAAATATTCTAGTCAATTTGGGCTGAGTGTAGTGATGCATGCCTGTAATTCCAGCACTTGGGAGGCCGATGCAGGAGGATTGCGATGAGTTAGAGGCCAGCCTGGGCTACACAGTGAGTTCAAGGCCAGCCTGAACTACATAGTGAGACCCTGTCTCAAGCAAACAAAATAAAATAAAGTCCACTTTGGTTAGTCCTCCACACAGCATAGGAGCCAGGCTTTACCTCTCTATTTTACACATGGAGAAACTGAAGCTGAGGACCTGGCTAGAAGAGGTGGGGTCTCAGGACTCAGCAGCAGTGAACAGGCCAGGCTGGCTTTCCTAGTGAAGTCAGAGGTTACTCAGTGACAGCCTGTACCTACCCCCTAGCCTAGGACACTGTTCCCCACCGAGGTGCCCACCCTCCCTTCAGTGTGCCCAATCCCTCCATGCTCCAGAGCTCAACTCAACTGCTACCAAGGGGAGCGGGGAGCCTTCCTGCCTGCCACCTCCCACATATCTGGCCCCATCCAGCTATGCCAACCCCAGCCTGACATTGCCCCACCAATCCCACACAGTGTGGGGTCAGCCTCCAGGGTAGCCTCAGGCTACGTGGGTAGGAACTCCTGTCTTAGAGGCAGCAACCCTGAGGCCCAAAGAACCCAGTGCTCACTAAAGGCCAGCACGTCTCCTGTCCACTATGCCCTGAACCCAGGATTGTGGAATCCCTGTCTGAGTCACCATTCATTCATTCATTCAACATCCTTGGGGGCTCCTCTGTGCCTCAGTGGGAGCCACATGGGAAGGGAGAAGGGTGTCAACACACACATGACACAATGTAAACCACTCTGCAGCACAAGAAAAACTGGGGATGAGTGTGTTTTGTGGGCTGGCTGAGTACTCTGCTAAATGGACTGGGGAAGGTCGGAGGGGCCTGTCCGGCGCACTGAGGCCTGCCCTAGATAGAGGTGGCAGAATGGGCTGGAGAAGGGGTGAGGGTGCTGGCTGGAAGCTCTTCAGGGTGCCTGGAATATGGAATGAGAACTGAACCCCAGCCAGGCCAGTGCTCTGGAGTTAGCATGGGCGGTCACCCCAAGACACCATGGAATCACTGAGAGAGGGGAGGGTCACACCTGTCCTTTAGAAAGGCCCCTCCTGTCCTGCATGGCTGTCCCATGGACAGCTCCCCTGAGGACTCCCACAGCAACAGGGCCCTGGCTGGCTTACAGTCGGTACCATTTTGTCACCGGATGATGATCAAAGAATAACTGTGCTTTCCATTGGTGATCTACATCGTGTCTGCTGAAAGGAACAGGAAGGAAGGAGGGAAGAGAAGAGGGGGGATGAAAGGGGAAAGAAGGAAGAAGGAAGAGTGAGAGAAACAAGAGGCGAAGAATGTGGTCAGATCTCCCAGGAGATGCAGAGGCCTGGCTCAGAGCCAGCATGGGGCTAGAAAATGGGATTTCCAGGTGACAGGAACGTGAGGCTGAGTCACACGGCCTGTTCCTAAGGGAAAACGTGGGTTGAGGAACAGTAAAGTGTTGGAATGGCTGGAGGAGCAGCAGTGGGGCCTGTTTTAGGGTTTGAGGGGTCCAGGTGGTGAGTGTGCAATGCATAGGAATGGTCTGGTTAAGAGCCTAAGCTTTGGTATCCTTGGCCCCTGGAAACCAGGAAGGTGACACCCCACCTTGGAAAGGAAAGACTATCAGGCTGAGAAGACCAGGGAAAGCTGGGGGTCACTTGCAGAGGTGGGGCAGCCGTAATTCAGGGTCACCCCATCTAGCCCTGCAGCCAGGCTGGGGAACTAGAGGGAGGAGAGAGGGCTCTCAAGTTTCATGGCTCTCATTTCTCCCACCCTGTCTAGCAGGGCCCTGGCAAAGGACCAGAACCAACGCTGGGCCGGGCTTTGCTGGGTAACCTAATGCCAGGCTGATCTGAGTGGGAACCAGGTCCCTATCCCCACCAGGGTGGGCTTTACTTCTGGGTATGGGCTGCTTGCCTGTGCCACCTCTAGCCTTTATCTCACCACCCCTCTACTAGAATGTCTCCTCCAGACCCCACTAGTCAAACTCCAACTCTAAGGACCTGCCTGGCACTGCCCTATTTCTGCACCTTCCAACCTCAGCAGAAGCCTCTGCCCTGCCAACCCCCCCTGCCCACCAGCACTTTTCCCTGGGACACACTCTGCCACCTCCTTTAGTCACAAAAACCATACTTAGAGGTAACAGTCTGTCTCAGCAGAGACTCTGCATGCCTAGCCCACTTCTTCTGAAGGAAGGGAAGCGTGGGATTCATGATTAAAATGCTTATGAGCCCTGCCTGGCCTCGGTGGTAATGAGGCTGCCTTTTCCATCTACTCTCCTTAGCGTGGGGCTAGGAATCCACCCCATTATGATCAGTGTGCTGATGCTACAGCAGAATCTGGAACACAGCAGGCACCCCACCTTGCAAAGCCTCTCTTCCGGCCCGGGGCCTCTTGCTAGAACCGGGGAACCTATACTACTGACAATGAGGGCTTCAAGGGGAGAAGGGCCTTTTATTGCATCTTTGCCCATAGCAGAAGACCTATGCTTTAAACCAATAGAAGTATTCATGAAGCTACAGGTACCTACTGTGTCCCTCTCTCCTGGAAACAAAGGTGATCACACATCCTGCCACTGCCTGAGGATCAGAGAGGAAGCCATCAGAGTTGGGCCCTGAGGTATACGAGAACAACCACCTGGAGATGGGAGACAGAACCCTAGGAAGGCAGGAACTGTACAGTGTTTTCAGGTGGCCGCAGGCAGAGGCAGGCAAACAACTGGGGACACTGTGATGCAGAGGGGAAGGGGGCTCCATCCTTCCACCCCAAAAGTCACACAGGTGAGCCATCAGATCCCACCTGGATAGGGGCCCTAGGGGGTCTGTCTGGGCACACAGGGCAGAGAGAGGCCCATGGCTCACCCGCTTGCTCCAACGCAAACCAAGGTGAGCTCCAGAGGACCTGGTGCTTCAGACCCCTGTGGCTCCGCATTCACCAACTGACTCCATCTTCCTCGCAGTGGCCCCAGGCTGCACGCGAAGGGCAGAGGGCAGAGGGCAGAGGGCAGAGGGCAGAGGGCGAGGCCCGAAAATCACCAGCTGGAACATGCCTCATCCCTGGTAGGGAAACTGAGGCTGGGGGTGGGGGGGCACCAACCCAAGGTCGGACGCACACGGAGCCCTGCTCACCTGGTAGTTGTCCAGCTGCTCTTCGGTGAAGATGGTCTGTTTGTTCCCCATGGCGGCGGCCCGGAGCCCCGC